GACTCACAGAGACACCCACAGACTCACACAGACACCCACAGACTCACACAGAGACCCACAGACTCACACAGACACCCACAGACTCACACAGAGACATACAGATTAACACAGACACCCACAGACTCACACAGAGTCCCACAAACTCACAGACACCCACAGACTCACACAGACACCCACAGACTCACACAGACACCCACAGACTCACAGAGACATACAGATTCACAGACACCCACAGACTCACACAGACACCCACGAACTCACACAGACACCCATAGACTCACACAGAGACATACAGATTCACACAGACACCCACAGACTCACACAGAGACCCACAGACTCACACATATAACCACAGGCTGATATGCATACTCAACAAATTCCATAACATATTAAAATACGTATTTATAAATATATTATTTGTACATCTCGCTGTTGATTCTGGCCAGGCTTTCGAATCCATCATTCTTTTCGCTTTCATTATTACTTTTATTATTATTACGACTTCACTCGGGGAGGAAAATTCCATTTGCGAGTGGAAAAGAAAAGCACAAAAAAAGGAATTCGCCAACTCTGAACGTGGCGAGTATCAGAGCCAGAACGACGAAGCCCTCGCTCGAGTGAATTCGGAGCGGTGACGCGCAGTGGCACAAACCTCACTTAGACAGGGAGAGAGACACACAGAGAGAGAGAGAGAGACGCAGAGAGAGAGAGACACAGAGATAGAGACCGAGCAAGAGACACGAAGACTTTTTGACTTTTAAAACAACTTTCATTGCCGCCAGCAGCAACAGCGCCGAAGGCGATTCCGGTGCGAAATACAAAACAAAGTCACCAGCAACATAAATAACAGGTCCCTGCAGTGTGGGCTGGTAGGAACATTGGAATTTTGCGCAATTTTATGACATTGTTACTTCCAAATGTTCGGTGCAATAAGACATAATATCAAGTCTCTGCGCTGTCTATTGCTGATTTTATACACCCAACAGCACGAGATTTCACTTCGTTAAAGTATTGAAAGGGGACGGACGGACGGACACATTAATCTATTGCAGGCTGGTACACTCAGTTTACAACTTCGTTCCGACCAGTATAAAATACTATAAATCCACGCGCTAAATGCGTCACGCACAACTCAAAAGAAAAGTCACGTGGTGGTGGTGGTGGTGGTCATTCACGCACGCCACGTTGACGAGCGAGCGCTTCAGAAGGTGAACACGTGGGGTGGTGCCGTCCACGCTGGTAACAGAGAGGGGCTTCTCCGGACCCCCCAGCGTTCGAGGAAGACGCTCTGCACCATCACCGACACGCGTGTGTGTGTGGTACGTGGCGTGCTCCGGCCGGAGCCGCGCCTTGAGCAGGCCCCCCCTGAACACTGGAAGCAGTACAAGAGCAGCCGTCCAGTGTCACCTCTTGCAAGCATCTTTTACCTCGTTCTGTAACACCGCCAAACTTCGCCCGAGCGCAGGCGAAGTTGGCGAGGTCGTGGCGCTTGTTAGCCAGGTAAGGCACCACCACCACCCCATATACGAAACTGCCGCTGTTGTAGAAGGGCACCCCCAGTTGCCTGAAGGTTGGTTTGAGCCGCTGGCAGCGTAAGTTCTGGTGGGGCAGATCCTCCCTGGCACCGCAGGAAATGCACCAAGTCTGTTACCCCTCATTCTAGATTTGAAGTTTTCGTGACTGCAAGGATCCGTACTCTTTGGTTCTTTCGGTAAAGTCACGTAAGTGGGGGGAAAAAATATAATAATAAAAATTTTAAATAAATTAAATCACGACGTTTCGTTTCGAAACGTCGTTTCGCTTGGGGTGTTTGGACTCCTGGCTGTACATTTCTTCCACATGATGATGATAATGATGATGATGTTATCTGCCACTTTGTTGAGCTGCTATCGTTCGTGATGGCCAGGTCGCATCTGAAAGAGAGCTTGCTTACCTGGTGAAGTAACACAAAAAAACAAAAACGTTTTGGCTGAAATTACGTAAGAAATAACTTTCACCCCTTTTTGATCTCCTGTGTAACTGGCGAGGTAGTAAACATCTCCTAGCCCCAGCGCAGCGCCCTAACATCGGCGCTGGGGAAGACAAAGGCCAGCCGGGTCGCAGGCGTGGTTTTGACCAAACCCACGAACCCACTGGCGAACGGGACTCGCCCCGACAAGCCCCTGTTGAAGGCTACACTGGGGGAGGGGAGGGGGCCCATTTTTTGCTTGTTTGCCTGTTGCGTGGTTTGTCTTCAAACATAACAAAATACAATTCTCGCGACGTTTCGGCCACAGCACCGTCCTCAGGTGGAGAAACATAGCTGCCGGAAAGACAGCGTCCTCTATTTGGACGGCTGTTTTGCGTTGTGGCCGAAACGTCGTGAGAATTTAACTTTGATCTTGTTTTATTACTTTATTATTTCCCCTTCTTCTACGTGGTGACGTTTACCGAAAGAGCATGAATCCCTGCAGTCACGAAAGCTTTAAATCGAAATTCAGCTTGAGGGTCGCGATCTGAGCTTGTGGCTTTTTCACTCCAGCGCTGTCCTCCAGACAGTCTCGTCCCCTTCACCCGATGAAGGCCGCTCGTGTTGTGGCCGAAACGTCGTGATTTTTTGTTATTTTATTTTTTTACCTACGTGGTGACTTTACCCAATAGAACCAAAGAGTATGTTGTGTGATGTGACCAAGTGTGCGAGGAGGAGATTGGCTCTGCGTGAGTATGAGAGAGCCTCAGTTTAACACGTAGCAAGCTTTCGCGACCAATATTATTCATAATAAAGGTTTTTTGGGGGGGGGATTAGATCGCGTTTATTTATAAATGTGTCGTAACCCTCCACCACCCGACACGGCCAATCAGCCAAATAAAAAAAAGTGTCACGTTGACAAAAAGACACAAATAGTTCACTACTTTAGCTCCTCGCCGGTGTTGTTGTTGAAGAGTGAATCTCTACAACATTTACAGTTTGAGTTGTACTGTGACGTTTCGCTGGCAATCACACGCAGGAGGAGATGGGCTGTGCGTGAGTATGAGAGAGCCTTTGTGTGGGGGAGCGGTGGCGCAGCGGTTAGCGCTGCGAACCCCCAACCCCCGTCGGCTACGAGCCGAGTTCGAGTCCTCCCCTAGGTCGACTCAGACTCAAATAAGTGCAGGGTGGTGCGTGGTGTGCAGCATCCCCGCCGGGGGAGACAAAGGCGGCCTGGTGTGGTTGCTGGTTTACCACGCACACTCACTCGTGTGCCACGGTGCCGGTAGGCTTCATAGGCGCTGCTGCTGCTGCTGCTGATGCTACTCGCTACTACTCACAGCCACTTGCCCCAGCAGTCTGTTGAAGGCTACCCGGGGGGAGGGTGGGGTCTTTGTCTTTGTTTCTGCTCGGACTCATTCCCACGATCGAGACTCGGCAAAAAACGCAGTCGCACGCAGTGAGGCTGCAGGATGTGGTGGTGGTGGTGGTGATTGTGTTGGTGGTGGTGATGATGAAGATGGTCATGGCGATGATGGTGGTGATGGTTGTGATGATGATTGTGGTGGTGATGATGATGATGATGGTCATGGCGATGATGGTGGTGGTGGTGGTGGTTGTGATGATGATTGTGGCGGTGATGATGATGATGATGGTCATGGCGATGATGGTGGTGATGGTTGTGATGATGATTGTGGTGGTGGTGGTGATGATCATGGTCATGGCGATGATGGTGGTGATGGTTGTGATGATGATTGTGGTGGTGGTGATGATGATGATGATGGTCATGGCGATGATGGTGGTGATGGTTGTGATGATGATTGTGGTGGTGGTGGTGGTGATAATGATGATGATGGTCATGGCGGCGATGATGGTGGTGGTGGTGATGGTTGTGATGATGATGAAGATGGTCATGGCGATGATGGTAGTGATATTTGTGATGATGATTGTGTTGGTGGTGATGATGATGAAGATGGTCGTGGCGATGATGGTGGTGATATTTGTGATGATGATTGTGTTGGTGGTGATGATGATGAAGATGGTCATGGCGATGATGGTGGTGATGGTTGTGATGATGATTGTGTTGGTGGTGATGATGATGAAGATGGTCATGGCGATGATGGTGGTGATGGTTGTGATGATGATTGTGTTGGTGGTGATGATGATGAAGATGGTCATGGCGATGATGGTGGTGATGGTTGTGATGATGATTGTGTTGGTGGTGATGATGATGAAGATGGTCATGGCGATGATGGTGGTGATGGTTGTGATGATGATTGTGTTGGTGGTGATGATGATGAAGATGGTCATGGCGATGATGGTGGTGATGGTTGTGATGATGATTGTGGTGGTGGTGATGATGATGGTCATGGCGATGATGGTGGTGGTGGTGATGGTTGTGATGATGATGAAGATGGTCATGGCGATGATGGTGGTGATATTTGTGATGATGATTGTGTTGGTGGTGATGACGATGAAGATGGTCATGGCGATGATGGTGGTGATGGTTGTGATGATGATTGTGGTGGTGGTGATGATGATGAAGATGGTCATGGCGATGATGGTGGTGATATTTGTGATGATGATTGTGCTGGTGTTGATGATGATGATGATGGTCATGGCGATGATGGTGGTGGTGGTGATGGTTGTGTTGGTGGTGATGATGATGAGGAACGACGCTCACAACAACGAGCGGAGCGCCGGGTGGCTAAAGCACAGCAGGTTGGCACAGTAGGGGGGCACAGGTGGTGCATCGGCCAGTCATCTCAGTCATCTCAGTCAGTCGACCCGTGGCACCTGCTGGGTCTGCCCCGTGACCTCCTGCCGGCGGGCGTGGCCTCAAGGTGCACATGGCCTGGCACAAGCGTCGTGGTGACGTCACCGCCACTTAGTGGCGAATGGCGGTTGTTGTTGTTGTTGATGATGATGAGGGTTATGATGCTGCTGGCATGGCGATGACGATGGTGCTGATGACTCTGTTATAGCCCAAACCTGCATCCTATTGCATTCATAACTGACGTCGTCCCGTCTCCCCGTACCGTCTCGCACCTAGGTTGACTCAGTGACAAATCAGAATGAAGCTGTGGATCATCCTCTGCATGGGGCTCGTCGGGACAGCTCTGGCCTTGCCCGTGAGTACCACATACCTCGGTTAAACTCCTGGCCTGTGTGTTCATGAGAGTCTGTGGTCTCCGTGTGAGTCTGTGTGTCTCTGTGTGGCTCTGTGGGCAGTGCCTGGTCTGGTGCAGTGTTGAGTCTATGGTGCAGTGTTGAGTCTATGGTGCAGTGTTGAGTCTATGGTGCAGTGTTGAGTCTATGGGCAGTGTTGAGTCTATGATGCAGTGTTGAGTCTATGGTGCAGTGTTGAGTCTATGGTGCAGTGTTGAGTCTTTGGGCAGTGTTGAGTCTATGATGCAGTGTTGAGTCTATGGTTCAGTGTTGAGTCTATGGGCAGTGCTGAGTCTATGGTGCAGTGTTGAATCTATGGTGTAGTGTTGAGTCTATGGTGCAGTGTTGAGTCTATGGTGCAGTGTTGAGTCTATGGTGCAATGTTGAGTCTATGGTGCAGTGTTGAGTCTATGGTGCAGTGTTGAGTCTATGGGCAATGCTGAGTCTATGGTGCAGTGTTGAGTCTGTGGTGCAGTGTTGAGTCTATGGTGCAGTGTTGAGTCTGTGGGCAGTGTTGAGTCTATGGTGTTAGTGTTGAGTCTATGGTGCAGTGTTGCGTCTGTGGGCAGTGTTGAGTCTACGGTCAGTGTTGAGTCTACGGTGCAGTGTTGAGTCTATGGACAGTGTTGAGTCTATGGTGCAGTGTTGAGTCTATGGGGAGTGTTGAGTCTATGGTGCAGTGTTGAGTCTGTGGGCAGTGTTGAGTCTATGGTGTTAGTGTTGAGTCTATTGACAGTGTTGAGTCTATGGTGCAGTGTTGAGTCTATGGTGCAGTGTTGAGTCTATGGTGCAGTGTTGAGTCTGTGGGCAGTGTTGAGTCTATGGTGCAGTGTTGAGTCTATTGACAGTGTTGAGTCTATGGTGCAGTGTTGAGTCTATGGTGCAGTTTGAGTCTGTGGTGCAGTGTTGAGTCTGTGGTGCAGTGTTGAGTCTATGGTGTTAGTGTTGAGTCTATGGTGCAGTGTTGAGTCTATGGTGCAGTTTGAGTCTGTGGTGCAGTGTTGCGTATACGGTGCAGTGTTGAGTCTATGGGCAGTGTTGAGTCTATGGTGCAGTGTTGAGTCTATGGGCAGTGTTGAGTCTATGGTGCAGTGTTGAGTCTATGGGCAGTGTTGAGTCTATGGTGCAGTGTTGAGTCTATGGTGTTAGTGTTGAGTCTATGGTGCAGTGTTGAGTCTATTGACAGTGTTGAGTCTATGGTGCAGTGTTGAGTCTATGGTGTTAGTGTTGAGTCTATGGGCAGTGTTGAGTCTATGGTGTTAGTGTTGAGTCTATGGTGCAGTGTTGAGTCTGTGGGCAGTGTTGAGTGTAAGTGCTGAATTACAATTCCAACCAGCCCTGATGTTGAACTCTGCCCTGGACGTGTGACAGGAGAGTTACCTGGAGAGTGCTTTGGAAGCCGATGGCGAGGTCGTTGAGGAATTGCCAGTAAGTAGCAACTAATTAGCACAATACATGCATATATTAGCATGTATGGATTGGTGACGCTCACCCACTCACTCACCCACCCAACCACTCACACAGTCACTCACCCAGTCACTCACGCATCCACCCAGTCACGCAATCACTCACTCATCCAACCAACCACTCACTCACCTGTTCACTCACCCATCCAACCACTCAGACAGTCACTCACCCAGTCACTCACTCATTCACGCAGTCACGCAATCATTCACTCACCCACCTGCTCACTCACCCTCGTACCCACCCACATACCCACCCACCCACTCACATACCCACTCACTCACCCACTCACCCGCTCATTCACTGGCCTACTCAATGCGAACCATGAACATATTTAGTTTTTGGGCCCCGCCCACCGCCAATACTTTCAAGCCAACCAATGACAATGTTGGCTTTATGACTAATTAACATAATTTATGATTGCCCCCCATTCATCCCGCCCTCTCTCAGATGGAAGGAGGCAATCCCGTGCAAGGGGAGGAGGAGGTGGAGTTTGAGGATGAGTCTTGGGCGGAGGGGAAGGAGGAGACCAGAGATGGTAGGGAGTCACATATCGGAGATGTTAACTACCTCGCCTGGTCTACAGGAGATCGTGGGTTCGATCCCAACTCTGATGACGCCTGCTGCTTTATATTGGGAGTCTGAGTCTCTCTTTCTCTCTCCCTGTTATGGTCACTGCGTGGATTTTTGTCCGGGTACTCCAGTACCCCACCCACTCCGCATTTAGAATCAACAGCACGTATTTAGAGTGATTTGCATAACCAGGCGAGGTAGTTAACATCTCCTAGCCTTACCGGGGCAAGTTGTTGACGGATACGAAATTGTGCACGTTTCTTGAATTAATGATAATCCCCACCCCCCTGTTTGTCGTGGTGCTAATGGTGTGGTCCGAATTCTCGCCCCCACAGACGCCTCTGGGCCGTGTGGGTCGTACCACTGCAAAGAGGGGAAGGTGTGCGAGGTGGACGAAACCAACCAGCCCATGTGCATCTGCCAAGACCCCTCGACCTGCCCCAAGGCTCTCAACGATTTCGAGAAGGTCCGTGTCAGTGGGGTTCACGATGGCCATGTGGCTGGGTGGGTTCACGATGGCCGTGTTGGTGGGTGGGTTCACAATGGCCGTGTGGCTGGGTGGGTTCACGATGGCCATGTGGGTGGGTTCACAATGGCCGTGTTGGTGGGTGGGTTCACGATGGCCGTGTGGGTGGGTGGGGTTCACGATGGCCATGTGGCTGGGTGGGTTCACGATGGCTGTGTGGGTGGGTGGGTTCACGATGGTCGTGTTGGTGGGTGGGTTCACGATGGCCGTGTGGGTGGGTGGGATTCACGATGGCCGTGTGGGTGGGTGGGGTTCACGATGGCCGTGTTGGTGGGTGGGGTTCACGATTGCCGTGTCGGTGGGTGGGGTTCACGATGGCCGTGTGGGTGGGTGGGATTCACGATGGCCGTGTGGGTGGGTGGGGTTCACGATGGCCGTGTTGGTGGGTGGGTTTCACGATTGCCGTGTCGGTGGGTGGGGTTCACAATGGCCGTGTGGGTGGGGTTCACAATTGCCATGTCGGTGGGTGGGTTCACGATGGCCGTGTTGGTGGGTGGGGTTCACAATGGCCGTGTGGCTGGGTGGGTTCACGATGGCCGTGTGGGTGGGGTTCACAATTGCCATGTCGGTGGGTGGGGTTCACGATGGCCGTGTTGGTGGGTGGGTTCACGATGGCCGTGTTGGTGGGTGGGTTCACGATGGCCGTGTGGGTGGGTGGGGTTCACGATGGCCGTGTGGGTGGGGTTCACAATTGCCATGTCGGTGGGTGGGGTTCACGATGGCCGCGTGGGTGGGTTGGGGTTCATAATGTCCGTGTCTGGTAGGTGGGTTCACGATGGCCGTGTCAGTGAGGCACACAATCGCCATGTTGGTGCAGAGACAAAGGCGGCCGGGCGGGTGTGGTGCCGGCCACCCATCCACCCCCATACGCTTTGGTTCTATTCGGTAAAGTCACCACGTAGTAGCTAAAAAATAAAACAACAAAAATTCTCACGACGTTTCGGCCACAACACAAGCGGCCTTCATCAGGTGAAGGGACCCCAGGCTGTCTCGAAGACGACAGCGCTGGAGTGAAAAAGAGCCAAGCTCAGACCGCGGACCTTTAAGCTGTGCGAGAGGAATTAACGTGCCTTGACAAAGGAATTAGCGTAAACAAAAAAATCACCATTCGATTGGCCGACTTAGCACGACGAGCGGTGTTAGAGGCGGTGCCCCACGCGGGTTGAACACGCCGGTCGGCGATGGGGGGAGGGGGGGAGGAGTTTACCCATTGGTCGAACCCCAACAATTGAGTGCAGCAGTGCCCCACGCGGCCTTGTCAGGCGGTGCCGCTCCTTGCCGTTGACCGGCACTGGCACCGGCAGCTCTTTGGCCGAGGCTACACGTGGCACGTGCGCGCCGCCCACTCTGTTGTGCTGCGGGCGCGCGAGCGCGAGAGCAGGTGTGCGGCACCGACAACGCCACCTACGGAAGCAGCTGCCACTTCCACGCTCACAAGTGCACCCTGGAGGGTACCAAGAAAGGACGCAGACTGCACCTCGACTACCTGGGGCCCTGCAAGGGTAAGGAGCGGCGGCAGGAGCAGCTTCTTCGGCGTCGTCGTCGTCGTCGTCAGCAGCAGCAGCATCAGCAGCATCATCAGCAGCAGCGTCAGTAATGTCGTCGGCATCATCAGCAGCAGCAGCAGCAGCAGCAGCAGCAGCAGCAGCTTCAGCAGCAGCGGTATCAGCAAAATCGCCAGCATCATCATCATCAGCAGCAGAATCATCAGCAGCGTCAGTAATGTCGTCGGCAGCAGCAGCAGCAGCAGCAGCTTCAGCAGCAGCGGTATCAGCAAAATCATCATCAGCATCATCGTCATCAGCAGCAGCAGATGAAGCAGCATCAGTATCGGCGAAATAGTCAGCATCAGCATCAGCAGCATCATCATCATGTGTTTGTAGTTCATTGTCCTTCCCCTACACCTCCGATTAGCATGGTTGGCTACGTACGGTGCGAAAGAAGTTCAACATGCATACAAAGCGGCCCACAGACACCCAGATCCATAGAGATCCACAGAGACCCACAGAAACACCCATAAAGACCTAAAGAGATGCACAAATTCCCACGTTTGGCTACTTACGGTGTGAAAGAAGTTAAAAATACATAATCAATTCTAGATTTAAAGCTTTCGTGACTGCTAGGATCCATACTCTTTGGTTCTATTGGGTAAAGTCACGTAGGTGAAGATAAAATAACAAAAAAATTAACGAAACATCACGACGTTTCGGCCACAACACATGCGGCCTCCATCGGCTGAAGGGACGAGACTGTCTGGAGGACAGCGCTGGAGTGGAAGGAGCCACGCTCAGATCACGACCTTTAAGCTTGTGATCGCGGCATCTTTTGAGGAAGGTCAGCGTCTCGATGAGTTGCGACTTCAGCTTCAGCAGCAGCATCAGCATCATTATCATCAGCAGCATCAGAAGCATCATCATCATCACCGCGTGTTTAGTTTGTTGTCCTTCCCCCCGCACCTCCGATTAGCACGAGTGGTTTGAAAGAAGATCAACATTGTACATATGTTGAGGCGTAAATGATGACTCCGAGGCAGATCTTCGTGTAGGGGCATGCGCCAGTTGTTTTTATTAAAGACCCCTTCTTCGCACACGACTCCGTGAGCTGCACGCTCACTGCCTACACTCCACACCCCGGGGGAAGGGTACTGGGGAGGCCCCTAGCACACCCACAGGCTACCCCAGCCTGGTGCCAATTTCCCCCCTAGCCTGGGTCCCATCGCTACCCCGGGGGAAGGTTGCTGGGGAGGTCCCTAGCACACCCACAGGCTACCCTAGCCTGGTGCTAATTTCCCTCTACCCCGGGGTCCCATCGCTACCCCAGGAGAAGGGTACTGTGGAGGTCCCTAGCACACCCACAGACTACCCTAGCCTGGTGCTAATTTCCCCCTACCCCGGGGTCCCATCGCTACCCCAGGGGAAGGTTACTGGGGGAGGTCCCTAGCACACCCACAGGCTACCCTAGCCTGGTGCCAATTTCCTCCTACCCCGGGGTCCCATCGCCCCCCCGGGGGAAGGTTACTGGGGGAGGTCCCTAGCACACCCACAGACTACCCCAGCCTAATGCTAATTTCCCCCTACCCTGGGGTCCCATCGCTACCCCCGGGGGAAGGGTACTGGGGGAGGTCCCTAGCACACCCACAGGCTACCCTAGCCTGGTGCCAATTTCCTCCTACCCCGGGGTCCCATCGCCCCCCCGGGGGAAGGTTACTGCGGAGGTCACTAGCACACCCACAGGCTACTCTAGCCTGGTGCTAATTTCCCCCTACCCCGGGGTCCCATCGCTACCCCCGGGGGAAGGTTACTGGGGGAGGTCCCTAGCACACCTACAGACTACTCTAGCCTGGTGTTAATTTCTCCCTACCCCGGGGTCCCATCGACCCCCGGGGGAAGGGTACTGGGGAGGTCACTAGCACACCCGCAGGCTACCCCAGCCTGGTGCTCATTTCCCTCTACCCCGGGGTCCCATCGCTACCCCGGTTGAAGGGTACTGGGGGAGGTCCCTAGCACACCCACAGGCTACCCCAGCCTGGTGCCAATTTCCCCCTACCCCGGGGTCCCATCGCTACCCCGGGGGAAGGTTACTGGGGAGGTCACTAGCACACCCACAGACTACCCCAGCCTGGTGCCAATTTCCCCCTACCCCCGGGGTCCCATCGCTACCCCGGGGGAAGGGTACTGGGGGAGGTCCCTAGCACACCCACAGGCTACTCTAGCCTGGTGCCAATTTGCCCCTACCCTGAGTCCCGACTTTCACCCTTCACGTTCCCGGAAACTCTCCAGATGACCCTGAATCCGTGACGGGTTCCGGCTTAAATCCCCCAGGGGGGCACATGACGTCACCGTCCCGCCGCCCTGTGCGTGACGTCACCATCCGTGACGTCATCGTACCAGAGGGCGAGCGTGGCATGACGTCACTAACTCCTCCTACTCTACACATACATACAAAGCGACCCACGGACATCCGGACCCATAGAGACCCATAGGAGATCCACAGATACACAGTATGTAGAGACCTACAGAGATCCACAAACGACCACGATTGGCTACGTACGGTGGGTGCAAAATAAGTTAAACATTGTACGCACATCTTCGCGGACCTGCCAGAATCTTCACGGCAACGTACTTGTTGCATTTTGGATTGAGACGAAACATCCAATTTTGGTCAACATACTCACAGAGCACTTGCCCTTAAAGTCTGTCAAAGAATACACGGGCCACCTTTGCATTTGGGTGAGCGTATGTGTGTATATCTGTACGTGCCACTGGCAGACAAATGCGGCCGGGAGCGTTGTGTTGTCCACCCACCCCCTCGTCTGCCTTGCCGGCCTTCCTAGATGCCACTCGCTAATTTCACTTGCCCCAAAAGTCTGTTAAGGCAACACGGGAGATCTTTGTTTGTCTTTGTTGGCATGTGGGGGGGGGGGGGGGGAGGGGGGGGTGAGTGAGCGGGTGGGTGAGTGGGTGATGTATTTAATGTATTTGCCTGCCTCAAATATTGAAAGAAGCAGTCACCCCCTGTGAGTGGCTGGCTGAGGTGCCATTTGTTGAGAAAGTACAGACGGCGATCCAGGGAAAGGCACCGGGCAGAGATGATCTCGCAAGCAAAATGCTGATGGAGGGTGGCGTTTGTGCACAGACTGCCATATATAAAATCATAACAACAGTCTGGACCACTGGAAGGGTTCCGCAGGATTGGAAGGATGCCCTAGTGATCCCCATCTTTAAGAAAGGGGACCGCATAGACTGTAACAACTACAGGGCATCTCACTCCTCAGTGTGCCTGGAAAGGTCCTGGCAAGGATTATTCAACATCGCCTTGCCAGGTATGCTGAGGAGAGGCTTGCGGAGCCCCAATGCGGTTTCAGGAAAGGGTGGTCCTGCACAGATGCCATATTTTCTGTCTGTCTGTTACAGCAGAGGTGTAGGGAATTCCAACAGGACCTACATCTCTCTTTGACCTGGTTAAGGCCTATGATACCATCAGTAGGCCTGGGCGCTGGGTTGTTATTCGTGCTTTCGGAGTCCCTGACCCTCTGCTCACAATCATTAAGGACCTTCATGATGGTGACCAGGTCCGGGTAAAACTATGTGGCTGTGATTCGGAGCCATTCTCTGTTCACCTTGGGATGCGACAGGGCTGCCCTCTGGCTCTCACATTATTTAACATATATTTCGACTACGTAGTTCTTGAAGCCTTTGATGCCTTTACCAGGGGAATTTCCATCTGGTACAGATACAATTGGAGGCTGATCGATGCCCGGATGCGGTAAAGGGATGGCTCCCTATTGGTCAACCAAGTTACGTATGCCAATGATCTGGTGATTGCTGCTCACTCACAGGAGGAGTTGGAGGCGCTGCTGCTGAACCTGGCGCGTGCCCCTAAGAGTTGGGGCCTTACCATCAGCCGCATCAAAACTAAGCACCTGCCTGTACCATTAGATACTCCACCCCCACAACTCCCAATTGGTGATTGGGTAGTTATGGAGAGAGTGGAGAGTTTTCCATACCTGGGCAGTGTGCTCATGACCGGCTCCAGTTTGACAGCAGCAGAGGTCTCAATCCGAATCAATCAAGCGGCATTATATTTTCATCGGCTGCATAACGCTGTGTGGAAGCTACCTGGTCTGTCACTCGACACGAGGCTTTGGGTCTTCTCGGCCAAGGCCCTCTTTATGCTTGCGAAATGTGGACCCCCCTCATGGAACATCGTCGCTGGTTAGAAACATATGGGTTGGCCTGCCTACAATCCATGCTGGGTGTATCCAGGCTGGATTGTGTGTGGAGCTCACAAATCCTTGAAATATATGGAAAAAGTCCCATCGATAAGCTACTCCGACAGGCAAGGCTGAGTTGGCTTGGTCATGTAGCCCGCATTCCCACCCACCACATGCCTAAAAGGATTTTGTTCGGCTGGATACAGAGGGCTAAACGGACGGGGCACGGGCTAGAGAAGAGATGGAGTGATGTGGTACAGAAGGACGTGGAGCTGAGTGGACTTGTCGATAACTGGTACCAGCGGTGTCAAGATCGACCTCTGTGGAGAAGGAGGCTCGTGATGGACGCTGCTACTGGGCAGTTGGAGGCAGTCGCCCTCCAGCAATAACGGACGGCACAGGAGCAAAGCTCACAACAACGAGCGGAGCACCGGGTGGCTAAAACGCAGCAAGTTGGGAAAGTAGAAGGCACATGTGGTGTATCAGCCAGTCATCTCAGTCATCTCAGTCAGGCGACCCGTGGCACCTGCTGGGTCTGCCCCGTGACCTCCTGCCAGCGGGCGTTCGACACTTCGCGTGTCCTCAACGTGCACATGGCCTGGCACAAGCGCCTTGGTGACATCACCACCACTAAGTGTCGAATGGCGGTGGTTGTTGTTGTGTGTGTGGGTGAGTGGATGGGTGGGTGACCACGTGATGTATCTGTCTGTGTCTGTGCGTACAGAGATCACCCCTTGTGATGATGCTGAGCTGTCCGAATTCCCACTGCGCATGCGCGACTGGCTCAAGAACGTCCTAGTGCAGACCTACAACAACAACCCCTCCCAGCTCACCGACAAGCAGCAGAGCCGGGTACTGTATGGTGTAGTCTATAATGTAGTATACAGAGTAGTGAATAGTGCAGTGTATAGTAGTGTATAGTGTTATATATAGTAGTGTAGTGTATAGTGTAGTGTATAGTAGTGTAGTGTATAGTAGTGTAGTGTAAAATATAGTATGCAGAGTAGTGAATAGTGCAGTGTATAGTAGTGTATAGTGTTATATATAGTAGTGTAGTGTATAGTGTAGTGTATAGTAGTGTAGTGTATAGTAGTGTAGTGTATAGTAGTGTAGTGTATAGTAGTGTATAGTGTAGTGTATAGTAGTGTAGTGTATAGTATAGTGTATAGTAGTGTAGTGTATAGTAGTATAGTGTAGTGTATAGTAGTGTAGTGTATAGTAGTGTAGTGTATAGTGTAGTGTATAGTGTAGTGTATAGTAGTGTAGTGTATAGTGTAGTGTATAGTAGTGTAGTGTATAATGTAGTATACAGAGTAGTGAATAGTGCAGTGTATAGTAGTGTATAGTGTTATATTTAGTAGTATAGTGTATAGTAGTGTAGTGTATAGAGTAGTGCATATTGTAGTTTATAGTCGTGTAGTGTATAGTAGTGTAGTGTATAATGTAGTATACAGAGTAGTGAATAGTGCAGTGTATAGTAGTGTATAGTGTTATATATAGTAGTGTAGTGTATAGTGGTGTAGTGTCTAGTAGTGTAGTGTATAGTAGTGTAGTGTATAGTAGTATAGTGTATAGTAGTGTAGTGTATAGTAGTATAGTGTATAGTAGTGTAGTGTATAGTAGTATAGTGTTATATATAGTAGTGTAGTGTATAGTGTAGTGTCTAGTAGTGTAGTGTATAGTGTAGTGTATAGTAGTGTAGTGTATAGTAGTGTAGTGTATAGTAGTGTAGTGTATAGTAGTGTAGTGTATAGTGTAGTGTATAGTAGTGTAGTGTATAGTAGTGTAGTGTATAGTATAGTGTATAGTAGTGTAGTGTATAGTAGTATAGTGTAGTGTATAGTAGTGTAGTGTATAGTAGTGTAGTGTATAGTGTAGTGTATAGTAGTGTAGTGTATAGTGTAGTGTATAGTAGTGTAGTGTATAATGTAGTATACAGAGTAGTGAATAGTGCAGTGTATAGTAGTGTATAGTGTTATATTTAGTAGTATAGTGTATAGTAGTGTAGTGTATAGAGTAGTGCATATTGTAGTTTATAGTCGTGTAGTGTATAGTAGTGTAGTGTATAATGTAGTATACAGAGTAGTGAATAGTGCAGTGTATAGTAGTGTATAGTGTTATATATAGTAGTGTAGTGTATAGTGGTGTAGTGTCTAGTTGTGTAGTGTATAGTAGTGTAGTGTATAGTAGTATAGTGTAGTGTATAGTAGTGTAGTGTATAGTAGTATAGTGTAGTGTATAGTAGTGTAGTGTATAGTAGTATAGTGTTATATATAGTAGTGTATAGTGTAGTGTCTAGTAGTGTAGTGTATAGTAGTGTAGTGTATAGTGTAGTGTATAGTAGTGTAGTGTATAGTAGTGTAGTGTATAGTGTAGTGTATAGTAGTGTAGTGTATAGTGTAGTGTATAGTAGTGTAGTGTATAGTAGTGTAGTGCATATTGTAGTGTATAGTAGTGTAGTGTATAGTAGTGTATTGTATAATGTAGTATACAGAGTAGTGAAGAGTGCAGTGTATAGTAGTGTAGTGTATAGTGTAGTGTATAGTAGTGTAGTGTATAGTAGTGTAGTGTATAGTGTAGTGTATAGTAGTGTAGTGTATAGTGTAGTGTATAGTAGTGTAGTGTATAGTAGTGTAGTGTATAGTAGTATAGTGCATAGTAGTGTATAGTGTAGTGTATAGTAGTGTATAGTGTAGTGCATAGTAGTGTATAGTGTAGTGTATAGTAGTGTATAGTAGTGTAGTGTATAGTAGTGTATAGTAGTGTATAGTGTAGTGTATAGTAGTGTATAGTAGTGTAGTGTATAGTAGTGTATAGTAGTGTATAGTGTAGTGTATAGTGTAGTGTATAGTAGTGTATAGTGTAACGTATAGTATAGTGGTGTATAGTGTAGTGTATAGTATAGTAGTGTATAGTGTAGTGTATAGCGTAGTGTATAGTATAGTAGTGTATAGTATAGTAGTGTATAGTATAGTAGTGTATAGTGTAGTGTATAGTGTAGTGTATATTGTAGTGTATAGTGTAATATATAGTGTATAGTGTAGTGTAATGTGTAGTGTATAGTGTAGTGTATAGTGTATGGTGTAGTGTATAGTGTAGTGTATAGTATAGTAGTGTATAGTGTAGTGTATAGTATAGTAGTGTATAGTGTAGTGTATAGTAGTGTATAGTGTAGTGTATAGTAGTGTATAGTAGTGTAGTGTATAGTGTAGTGTATAGTGTAGTGTATAGTATAGTAGTGTATAGTGTAGTGTATAGTGTAGTGTATAGTGTAGTGTATAGTATAGTAGTGTATAGTGTAGTGTATAGTGTAGTGTATAGTATAGTAGTGTATAGTGTAGTGTATAGTGTAGTGTATAGTGTAGTGTATAGTATAGTAGTGTATAGTGTAGTGTATAGTGTAATGTATAGTGTAGTGTATAGTATAGTAGTGTATAGTGTAGTGTAATGTGTAGTGGTGAAGTGTAGCTGGTGCAGGTCTACAACAGCAGCCGCTCCCATCTCTTACCACCGAACACTCCGCTAACGAATCTACAGTGACGTTGGAGGAACCACCAACTCACTTCGCCGTCTCTCTGTCTCTCTGTCGTCTCTCTGTCTCTCTGTCTCTCTCTCGTCTCTCTGTCTCTCTGCGTCTCTGTCTCCCGCCTCTCGTCTCGTCGGTGAGCAGGTGAAGAAGATGGTCGAGAACGGGAAGCGTCTGGAGGCCGGCGACCACTCGGTGGAGATCCTGCGGCGCGACTTCGTGAAGAACTACAAGATGTTCGTCTACCCGGTGCACTGGCAGTTCGCTCAGCTCGACGGCACGCCGGGAGACCAGTGAGTGTGTGTGGGAGTGGGTGGGTGAGTGGGTGAGTGAGTGTGTGGGTGAGTGGGTGAGTGTGGGAGTGAGTGGGTGAGTGGGTGAGTGAGTGGGTGGGTGAGGGTGTGAGTGGGTGTGGAAGTGGGTGGGTGTGTGTGAGTGGGTTGGTGTGTGGGTGTGTGAGTGAGTGTGTGTGGGAGTGGGTGGGTGAGTGGGTGTGTGGGTGGGTGTGTGTGTGGGTGAGTGAGTGTGTGTGTGTGGGAGTGTGAGTGGGTGGGTGGGTGAGTGTGTGTGTGAGTGGATGAGTGGGTGAGTGTGTGTGTGAGTGGATGAGTGGGTGTGTGTGTGTGAGTGGGTGAGTGTGAGTGGGTGAGTGTGTGTGTGTGAGTGGGTGAGTGTGTGTGTGAGTGGGTGAGTGTGTGTGTGAGTGGGTGAGTGTGTGAGTGGGTGTGTGTGTGAGTGGATGAGTGGGTGAGTGTGTGTGTGAGTGGCTGAGTGGGTGTGTGTGTGTGAGTGGGTGAGTGTGAGTGGGTGAGTGTGTGTGTGTGAGTGGGTGAGTGTGTGTGTGAGTGGGTGAGTGTGTGAGTGGGTGAGTGTGTGTGTGAATGGGTGAGTGTGTGAGTGCGTGTGAGTGGGTGCGTGTGAGTGAGTGTGTGTGTGAGTGGGTGGCAAAACAACCCCCTACCTCCTCGAGGTGCTGGACGGGCAACTCTGTCGTGGACAGTGCTGTGGGGGGAGGTCCAATTTCGATTGGCTCCTCCCCTCATGGCATCTGTGTCCACCACAGGGGCTTAACGGGGGCTCTGGATGGGTGTGAGGGGCTGGTAACCCCTCCACCTTCAATTAATTACCACTAAACCGCGAATTAAGTATATAACTAATAAGCTTGTGCCGGAGGCCCCGGGGGGCCAGGCGTCTATGACGTCTCCTGGCCAAACCCCAATTGGCGGAGCCAGGAGATTGAATATCTACCCTCGGGGCTCCTCCAGAAACAACGAAAAACCACTACGGGTGGCCACGTGGAATGTTCGAACGCTCACTGCAGAGGAGAGGCTGCCACTCCTCTGTCGGGAGCTGGACCGGTACCGCCTGGATCTATGTGGCATTCAGGAGGTCCGGTGAACCGGTTCTGGCTCCTACCACCATGAGGGGTGGACAGTCCTCTACTCGGGGCAGCAGACTGCCAAACAACAGGGTGTGGCTCTTCTTTTGAACAAAAGAATGCAGGGGGCGTGGGAGCGTGGCGGTGAGGTGTGGGAAGCTGTAAGCCCCAGGCTACTTTGGGCTCACCTTCCAATCAACCGGAGGCGAGGAATGGTGGTCGTGGTTACGTATGCCCCCACCGAAGATGAACATCCGTGGAGGAATGCAGGCAAAGCCGATGAGTCAGATGCCTTCTATGACCTCCTGTCACAGGTGCTGGCTAAAGTGGCCCCTCGGGATAGAGTCATCATGTTAGGTGACTTCAATGCCCGAGTTGGTCATGATGCTGGCACCTGGTCTGGAGTGATTGGAGGGCATGGGCCAGATCAGCTCAATAACAACGGAAGGAGGCTGTTAGATTTTTGTGCAGCCCATGTGCTTGTAATTACCAACACGCTGTTCCGGCATCGGCGCATCCACACAACATCATGGATGCATGCCAGGTCCAAGCAAGAACATCTGCTGGACTACATAGTGACGGAGCAGCGGATGCGAGCCCATGTCCTGGACACCAGGACCTACCATGGAGCTGATCTGCCCTCTGACCATCGACTAGTCATCTGTAAGATGCGCCTGCCATTCTTCCACTCCGGTGGTGGGTGTACACCCAGGACCCTATTCCAACCTAAAGTGGCCTGGTCTCAGTTATCTGATGAAAGTTGCAAGCGAGAATTTCATCATCGCTTGCGGCTGGGATTGGCATCGTCCCCGACTCCTCCTGATGTCGAGGGTAAATGGACGAGGTTTAGGACTGTGACTCATGCAGCTGCAATGGCTGCTTTGGGTACGCGGTCCAGACCTCCCCAGAGACCCTGGCTGACAGATGAGGTGTTCAGGATGGTTGAGAAAAAGCGACAGGCCCACTGTCATCGGCTACAGAATCCCACGTCAGAGAATGAGGAGGCTGACCGCAGCCTTCGCTCGGAGGTTTGGAGAGCCGTGAGGCGCTGCAAGGATGGGTGGTGGTCGCGGGTTGCTGAGGAGATGGAGTCTGCCTCAGTGGCCCATGATCACAAATCTCTATTTAACTCCATCAAAAAGTAACCTGCAGCGCCACACCTATTACCATCATTAGGGGAAAAAACGGTGATCCAATCTCCGACCCCCAGGAACAGGTTTGCAGATTTGCTGAGCATTTCTGTGAGGTCCTGGGGGAGGGAAAATCCCTCAGCCAGGAAAACATCGTGGCACAAAGTGAGGATGACCCTGCTGAGGCTGCGGTGCCTCAAATATTGGAAGAAGTCACCCCCTGTGAGTGGCTGGCTGAGGTGCCATCTGTTGAGGAAGTACTGAAGGCGATCCGGAGTCTGAGACTAGGAAAGGCAGCAGGCAGAGATGATCTCCCAAGCGAAATGCTGAGGGAGGGTGGAGTTTGTGCACAGACTGCCCTATATGACATCATAACAACAGTCTGGACCACTGGACGGGTTCCGCAGGATTGGAAGGATGCCCTGGTGGTCCCCCTTTTTAAGAAGGGGGACCGCACAGACTGTAACAACTATAGGGGCATCTCACTCCTCAGTGTGCCGGGAAAGGTCCTGTCAAGGATTATTCAACATCGCCTTGCCAGGCACGCTGAGGAGAGGCTTGCGGAGCCCCAATGCGGTTTCAGGAAAGGGCGGTCCTGCAGAGATGCCATATTTTCTGTCCGTCTGCTACAGCAGAGGTGTAGGGAATTCCAACAAGACCTACATCTCTGCTTTATTGACCTGGTAAAGGCCTATGATACCATCAGTAGGCCTGGGCTCTGGCTTGTTCTTTGTGCTTTTGGAGTACCTGACACTCTGCTCACGATCATTAAGGACCTTCATGATGGTGAGCGGGCCCGGGTAAAACTACGTGGCCGGAAGTCAGAGCCATTCCCTGTACACCTTGGGGTGCGACAGGGATGTCCTCTGGCTCCCACATTATTTAACATCTATTTTGACCACGTAGTTCGTGAAGCCTTCAATAGCTGTACCGGGGGAATCTCCATATGGTACAGATATAATGGGAGGCTGATCGATGCCCGGGTGCGGTCAAGGGATCGCTCCCTATTGCTCAACCACGTTATGTATGCTGATGATTTGGTAATAGCTGCTCATTCAGAGGAGGAGTTGGAGACGCTGCTGCTGAGACTGGAGCGTGCCACTAAGAGGTGGGGCCTTACCATCAGCCCCACCAAAACTAAGCACCTGCCTGGATATTTTGTACCATCGGACACTCCACCCCCACAACTCCAAAATCGGTGATGGGGCAGTTGTGGAGCGAGTGGAGAGTTTCCCATACCTGGGCAGTGTGCTTATGACCGGCTCCAGTTTAACAGCAGAGGTCTCACTCCGAATCAGTCGAGCGGTAATATCTTTTCATCGGTTGCATAACGCTGTGTGGAAGCTACCTGGTCTGTCGCTCCGCACTAAGCTTCAGGTCTTCTCGGCCACGGTCATTCCCTCCCTTCTCTATGCTTGCGAAACGTGGATCCTCCTAATGGAACATATTCGCTGGTTAGAAACATTTTGACTGGCCTGCCTACGATCCATCCTGGGTTTAACCAGACTGGATTGTGTGAGGAGCTCACAAATCCTTGAAAGATCTAGGCAAGGTCCCATCGGTGAGCTCCTCCGGCGGGCAAGACTGCGATGGCTGGGTCATATAGCCCGCATGCCCAGCCACCGCATGCCGAAACAGCTTTTGTTCGGCCGGATTGAGAGGGCTAAACGGGCGCGGCACGGGCTAGAGAAGAGATGGAGTGATGTGGTACAGGAGGACGTGGAGCTGAGTGGATATGCCGATGACTGGTACCAGCGGTGTCAAGATCGGCCTCTGTGGAGGAGGCTCGTGAAGGATGCTACTGGGCAGTTGGAGGTAGTCGCCCTCCAACAACAACGGAGGGCGGAGGAGCGACGCTCACAACAACGAGCGGAGCGCCGGGTGGTTAAAGCACAGCAGGTTCGCACAGTAGGGGGCACAGGTGGTGCATCAGCCAGTCATCTCAGTCAGTCGACCCGTGGCACCTGGGTCTGCCCCGAGACCTCCTGCCAGCGGGCGTTCGACACTTCACGTGGCCTCAGGGTGCACATAGCCTGGCACAAGCGTCGTGGTGACGTCACCGCCACTTAGTGGTGAATGGCGGTTGTTGTTGTTGGTGTGTGTGTGTGAGTGGATGAGTGGGTGTGTGTGAGTGGGTGAGTATGTGTGTGTGAGTAGGTGAGCATGTGAGTGTGTGTGTGAGTGGATGAGTGTGTGTGTGAGTGGATGAGTGGGTGAGTGTGTGAGTGTGAGTGGGTGAGTGTGTGAGTGAGTGTGAGTGTGTGAGTGAGTGTGAGTGGGTGAGTGAGTTTGTGTAGAAACTCTGACTCTACACTGACTCTCCACTGACTCTACACTGACTCTGACTCTCCACTGACTCTCCACTGTCTCTCCACTGACTCTCCATTGAATCTACACTGACTCTCCACTGACTCTACACTGACTCTCCACTGACTCTACACTGACTCTCCACTGACTCTACACTGACTCTGACTCTACACTGACTCTCCACTGACTCTCCACTGACTCTTCACTGACTCTGACTCTCCGCTGACTCTCCACTGACTCTCCGCTGACTCTCCACTGACTCTCCGCTGACTCTCCACTGACTCTGACTCTCCGCTGACTCTCCACTGACTCTCCGCTGACTCTACACTGACTCTCCACTGACTCTCCACTGACTCTTCACTGACTCTGACTCTCCGCTGACTCTCCGCTGACTCTCCACTGACTCTACACTGACTCTGACTCTCCACTGACTCTACACTGACTCTGACTCTACACTGACTCTCCACTGACTCTCCACTGACTCTCCGCTGACTCTCCACTGACTCTGACTCTACACTGACTCTGACTCTCCGCTGACTCTCCACTGACTCTACACTGACTCTGACTCTCCGCTGACTCTCCACTGACTCTGACTCTCCGCTGACTCTCCACTGACTCTCCGCTGACTCTCCACTGACTCTGACTCTCCGCTGACTCTCCACTGACTCTCCACTGACTCTACTCTGACTCTCCGCTGACTCTCCGCTGACTCTGACTCTACACTGACTCTCCACTGACTCTCCGCTGACTCTCACTCTCCGCTGACTCTCCGCTGACTCTGACTCTCCACTGACTCTGACTCTCCGCTGATTCTCCACTGACTCTGACTCTCCACTGACTCTCGACTGACTCTGACTCTCCACTGACTCTCCACTGACACTGACTCTACTCTGACTCTCCACTGACTCTACTCTGACTCTCCACTGACTCTCGACTGACTCTGACTCTCCGCTGACTCTCCACTGACTCTCCACTGACTCTGACTCTCCGCTGACTCTCCACTGACTCTGACTCTCCGCTGACTCTCCGCTGACTCTCCACTGACTCTGACTCTCCGCTGACTCTCCGCTGACTCTCCACTGACTCTGACTCTCCGCTGACTCTCCGCTGACTCTGCCACACCCTCAGGTACCTCTCCCACTCGGAGCTGGCCCCGCTGAGGGCCCCTCTGGTGCCTATGGAGCACTGCACCACGCGATTCTTCCTGTCGTGCGACGCCGACTCGGACGCCTTCGTCTCCCTCGCGGAGTGGGCGACGTGCTTCGGAGTCAAGCCCGGTACGGTGGTGGTGGTGGTGGTAGTGGTGGTGGTGGGTGGTCGTGGTGATGGTGGTGGTGATGGTGGTGGTGGGTGGTGGTGGTGGTGGCGGTGGTGGTGGTGGTGGTGGTGATGGTAGTGGTGATGGTGGTGATGGTGGTGGTGGTTGTGGTGGTGATGGTGGTGGTGGCGGTGGTGGTGATGGTGGTGGTGGGTGGTGGTGATGGTGGTGGTGGTGGTGATGGTGGGTGGTGGTGATGGTGGTGGTGGGTGGTGATGGTGGTGGTGGTGGTGGGTGGTGATGGTGGTGGTGGCGGTGGTGGTGATGGTGGGTGGTGGTGATGGTGGTGGTGATGGTGGTAGTGGGTAGTGGTGATGGTGGTAGTGGGTGGTGGTGATGGTGGTGGTAGCGGTGGTGGCGGTAGTGGCTATGGTGGTAGTGGTACGATGGTCCATCTGCTACAGCAGAGGTGTAGGGAATTCCAACAAGACCTACGTCTCTGCTTTATTGACCTGGTCAAGGCCTATGAAACCATCAGTGGGCCTGGGCTCTGGGTTGTTCTTCGTGCTTTCGGAGTCCCTGACTCACTGCTCACGATCATTAAGGACCTTCATGATGGTGAGCCTGCCCGGGTAAAACTACGTGGCCGGGAGTCGGAGCCGTTCCCTGTACAACTTGGGGTGCGACAGGGATGTCCTCTGCTTCCCACATAATTTAACGTCTATTTTGACCACGTAGTTAGTGAAGCCTTCAATAGCTGTACCGGAAGAATCTCCATCTGGTACAGATATAATGGGAGGCTGATCGATGCCCAGGTGTGGTCCAGGGATGGCTCCCTATTGCTCAACCATGTTGCATATGCCGATGATCTGGTAATTGATGCTCACTCTGAGGAGGAATTACAGATGCTGCTGCTAGACCTGGAGCATGCCACTAAGAGGTGGGGTCTTACCATTAGCCCCTCCAAGCACCTGCCTGGGTCTGTTGTGTCATTAAATACTCCATTTCCTCAACTCCCCATTGGTGGGGTTGTTGTGGAGAGAGTGGAGAGTTTTCTATATGTGAGCAGTGTGCTCATGACCAGCTCCGGTTTGACAACAGAGGTCTCACTCTGTATCAGTCGAGTGGCTGTGTAACGCTGTTTGGAAGCTGCCCGGTCTGTCGCTCCGCACTAAGCTTCAGGTCTTCTCGGCCACGGTCATGCCATCCCTTCTCTACGCTTGCGAAACGTGGACCTTCGAATGGAACATCTTCGTAAGTTAGAAACATTTAGGCTGGCCTGCCTACGATCCATCCTGGATTTAACTAGGCTGGATTGTGTGAGGAGCTCACAAATCCTTGAAAGATCTGGGCAAGGTCCCATCAGTGAGCTCCTCCGGCGGGCAAGGCTGCGATGGCTGGGTCATGTAGCCCGCATGCCCAGCCACCGCATGCCGAAACAGCTTTTGTTCGGCCGGATCGAGGGGGCTAAGCGGGCGCGGCACGGCTAGAGAAGAGATGGAGTGACGTGGTACAGGAGGACGTGGAGCTGAGTGGACTTGCCGATGACCGGTACCAGCGGTGTCAAGATCGGCCTCTGTGGAGGAGGCTCGTGAAGGACGCTGCTACTGGGCAGTTGGAGGCAGTCGCCCTCCAACAACAACGGAGGGCGGAGGAGCGACGCTCACAACAACGAGCGGAGCGCCGGGTGGCTAAAACACAGCAAATTGGCACAGTAGGAGTCACAGGTGGTGCATCAGCCAGTCATCTCAGTCAGTGAGCCCATAGCACCTGGGTCTGTCCCATAACCTCCTACCAGCGGGCGTTCGACACTTCACGTGGCCTTAAAGTGTACATAGCCTGGCACAAGCGCCGTGGTGACGTCACCGCCACTTGTTCTTGTTGATGGCCGTGACGGAGGAAGAAGGACGCTACTGGGCGATTGGAGGCAGCCTCCCATCCCAGCATCAAAACAGTGGCCCTGAATAACACCGATTGCCACGTCCGCTATATGACTAACGTCTCCGCTTCGTCTGTCTCCCCCCCCGTCCCGTCGTCTGTACAGAGGATGTGAGCGAAGACCTGCTGATGTAGGAGGAGACACGAGAAGAGGGATATAGAACTCCCATTGCAAGGCGTACTCACCCGCACGCATGCCCACAATGCATACATTGACACGCACTTGTACACAAGTATTTCAACACAAAGGCACACACGCGCACTCCGTAACTATTGACATGCGCAACGTACGTACGTATGCACGGGCGCTCACACACTCACTCACTCACACACTCACTCAGGCGCTCACTCACACACTCACTCACACACTTACTCACACACTTACTCACACACTCACTCACGCACTTACTCACACGCTCACGCACTCATTCACACACTTACTCAGGCGCTCACACACACACACTCACGCACTCATTCACACACTTAACTCAGGCGCTCACTCACACACTCACTCACGCACTTATTCACACGCTCACACACACTCACACACTCACTCACGCACTCATTCACACACATAACTCACTCGCTCACTCACACGCTCACTCACATTCTCACTCACTCGCTCACGCACTCATTCACACACATAACTCACTCGCTCACTCACACGCTCACTCACTCACTCACACGCTCACTCACACACTCGCTCACTCACACACACACGCGCGCGCGCACTTTCCTGCCAAGGAAAATATTCTGTAGGTGGATTAAGGACCAATAAATACTTTCCTCCAAAAGTCCACGGTGCAAATGAGCGGGCAAGGAGGAAGTCTCCCTCGGCGTTTGTCAGGGCAAGTGGCTCCTTGCGAGGAGCTCCAGACCCAATGGTGCTCTTTCTGAGGGATGCGTCCATTCACAACCCATCGGGTTCGGCGTGCTGCAGTGGAGTGAATCTGTGGGATTCCACGGTGGGGTGTGAATCTGTAGTGGAGTGAATCTGTGGGATTCCACGGTGGGGTGAATCTGCAGTGGAGTGAATCTGGAGTGGAGTGAATCTGCAGAATCCTGGGTGGAATTAATCTGCAGTGGAGTGAATCTGTGGGATTTTACGGTGGGGTGTGAATCTGCAGTGGAGTGAATCTACAGTGGAGAGAATCTGGAGTGGAGTGAATCTGTGGGATTCCACGGTGGGGTGTGAATCTGCAGTGGAGTGAATTTGCAGAATCCTGGGTGGAATTAATCTGCAGTGGAGTGAATCTGTGGGATACCACGTTGGGGTGAATCTGCAGAATCCTGGGTGGAATTAATCTGCAGTGGAGTGAATCTACAGTGGAGTGAATCTGGAGTGGAGTGAATCTGCAGAATCCTGGGTGGAATTAATCTGCAGTGGAGTGAATCTGTGGGATACCACGTTGGGGTGAATCTGCAGTGGAGTGAATCTGCAGAATCCTGGGTGGAATTAATCTACAGTGGAGTTAATCTACAGTGGAGTGAATCTGGAGTGGAGTGAATCTGCAGATTTCACATCCGAGTGAATCTGCAGGATTCACGGTGGAGTGAATCTGGAGTGGAGTGAATCTGCAGTGGAGTGAATCTGCAGTGGAGTGAATCTGGAGTGGAGTGAATCTGGAGTGGAGTGAATCTGTGGGATTCCACGGTGGTGTGAATCTGCAGTGGAGTGAATCTGGGGTGGAGTGAATCTGGAGTGGAGTGAATCTGCAGTGGAGTGAATCTGTGGGATTCCACGTTGGGGTGAATCTGCAGTGGAGTGGATCTGCAGGATTCACAACGGACTCAATCACAGTGGAGTTAATCTGCAGTGGAGTGAATCTGGAGTGGAGTGAATCTGCAGTGGAGTGAATCTGTGGGATTCCACGGTGGAGTGAATCTGGAATGGAGTGAATCTGCAGATTTCACATCCGAGTGAATCTGCAGGATTCACGGTGGAGTGAATCTGGGGTGGAGTGAATCTGCGGTGGAGTGACTCTGCAGGATTCACGGTGGAGTGGATCTGCAGGATTCACAACGGACTCAATCCACAGCGGTGTGAATTTAGGAGCGAATCCTCAGAATCCACGCACACTCGCACGGCGGTCGCTCGTCGTGCCGAGACGCCTCCCTCTCTCGGGGTGTCTCTGGCTCCTCATCAGCTGCGCAGAGTGGAGCTCAAGGCAATTAACCCCGAGGGATGCATCCTCCCTTGAACCCCGTCAGTCTCCTGCCCACGTCCCTCTCGGTCTGATCTCCTCCGGTCCTCTCCCTCCTGGCTTCGTCTCTTCGCCGCGCGCCGTTCTGTTGCCGACTTTTGATGTCAAATACACGCAAAGCGGGAGATCGTGTGTGTGTGTGTCTTTAGTGTGTGTGTGTGTTTAATGTGTGTGTATTTAGTGTGTGTGTGTGTGTTTAGTGTGTGTGTCTTTAGTGTGTGTGTGTGTTTAATGTGTGTGTGTCTTTAGTGTGTGTGTCTTTAGTGTGTGTGTCTTTAATGTGTGTGTCTTTAGTGAATGTGTGTCTTTAGTGTTTTTGTCTTGAGTGTGTGTGTGTCTTTAGTGAGTGTGTGTGTCTTTAGTGAGTGTGTGTCTTTAGTGAATGTGTGTTTTTAGTGTTTGTGTTGAGTGTGTGTGTGTGTCTTTAGTGTGTGTCTTTAGTTAGTGTGTGTCTTTAGTGAATGTGTGTCTTTAGTGTTTGTGTTGAGTGTATGTGTGTCTTTAGTGTGTGTGTCTTTAGTTAGTGTGTGTGTGTCTCTAGTGAATGTGTGTTTTTAGTGTTTGTGTTGAGTGTGTGTGTGTCTTTAGTGTGTGTGTGTGTCTTTAGTGTGTGTGTGTCTCTAGTGAATGTGTGTTTTTAGTGTTTGTGTTGAGTGTGTGTGTGTGTCTTTAGTCTGTGTGTCTTTAGTTAGTGTGTGTGTCTCTAGTGAATGTGTGTTTTTAGTGTTTGTGTTGAGTGTGTGTGTGTGTGCGTGCGTCTTTAGTGTGAATGTTGTGGTAGGCCACGACCCTAGGCAAAGCCCTCTCTGATCGTCGCCTTCTCAAGGTGAGTGATAGAGTAGGGGCACACCTAAGGGATTGGGTAGTAGAATATTTGCTCCGGCCCATACAGGGATTTTTGTTTTTTGCATTAAACGTGCCGTTAATGAACTTCAGTTCAGAGTATCGTTACAGCGCTATTTGCCCGTGTGTGTGTGTGTGTAGAACCTCGGCGTGGTGTTGCTAATTTGTGTGTGTGTATGTGTGTGTGTAGAACCTAGTGGGGAGCGATAGTGTAGCGGTTAGCGCTACGCTGCGCTATGAACCTGGCGACCCGGGTTCGATTCCCGCTCAGGGCCACCAACACCAGTGACGATTATCTGAACCGGTCCCGGACCTCCCCTAGGTCGACTCAGCCTCAAATGAGTACCCTGGTGCGGTGTGTAGTAAACATCGCCACTGGGGGAGACAAAGGCGGTCGGGCGTGGTGCTGGTAGCCACCCACCCCCTCGTGTACCGTTCCCGGCCTTCATAGGTGCCGTTCGCTAACAGCACTTGCCCCTACAGTCTGTTACAGGCTACACGGGGGATCTTTGTCTTTATCTTTGTAGAACCTCGGCGTGGTGTTGCTAATGTGTGTGTGTGCGTGTGTCTGTGTGGCAGCGGCGCGCGCGTTCACGCCACCGCGGTCGGTTTGGAGGTGGTGTACGTGGGAGTGTGCGGGGTAACCCCGGGCGGTGGTGAGCCAGCCACTTCGCCATGTCTCTGAGAGAGGGAGATAAAGATGGGGGGGGGGGGGGGGGGGGGCGATCACCCGAGAGGCGGGGGGCCCGGGAAGAGGCGGCCGACGAGGAGGAGGGGAGGGGGGTGGAGGGGGGCGGAGATCGGCCCCCCACAGGGTTTAGTGAGTTGTGTGTGTGGGTTTGTGTGTTTAGTGAGTTGTGTGGGATTGTGTGTTTAGTGATTGTGTGGGATTGTGTGTTTAGTGAGTGTGTGGGATTGTGTGTTTAGTGTGTGTATGTGTGTTTAGTGATTGTGTGTTTAGTGTGTGTATGTGTGTTTAGTGAGTTGTGTGGGTTTGTGTGTTTAGTGAGTGTGTGGGATTGTGTGTTTAGTGTGTGTATGTGTGTTTAGTGATTGTGTGTTTAGTGTGTGTATGTGTGTTTAGTGAGTTGTGTGGGTTTGTGTGTTTAGTGAGTGTGTGGGATTGTGTGTTTAGTGTGTGTATGTGTGTTTAGTGAGTTGTGTGGGTTTGTGTGTTTAGTGAGTGTGTGGGATTGTGTGTTTAGTGTGTGTATGTGTGTTTAGTGATTGTGTGTGTGGGTTTGTGTGTTTAGTGAGTGTGTGGGTTTAGTGATTGTGTGTTTAGTGAGTGTGTGTGTGTGTTTAGTGAGTTGTGTGGGTTTGTGTGTTTAGTGAGTGTGTGGGATTGTGTGTTTAGTGTGTGTATGTGTGTTTAGTGATTGTGTGTGTGGGTTTGTGTGTTTAGTGAGTGTGTGGGTTTAGTGATTGTGTGTTTAGTGAGTGTGTGGGTTTAGTGATTGTGTGTTTAGTGAGTGTGTGTGTGTGTTTAGTGAGTTGTGTGGGTTTGTGTGTTTAGTGAGTGTGTGGGATTGTGTGTTTAGTGAGTGTGTGGGATTGTGTGTTTAGTGAGTGTGTGGGATTGTGTGTTTAGTGTGTGTATGTGTGTTTAGTGATTGTGTGTGTGGGTTTGTGTGTTTAGTGAGTGTGTGGGTTTAGTGATTGTGTGTTTAGTGAGTGTGTGTGTGTGTTTAGTGAGTTGTGTGGGTTTGTGTGTTTAGTGAGTGTGTGGGATTGTGTGTTTAGTGTGTGTATGTGTGTTTAGTGATTGTGTGTGTGGGTTTGTGTGTTTAGTGAGTGTGTGGGTTTAGTGATTGTGTGTTTAGTGAGTGTGTGTGTGTGTGTTTAGTGAGTTGTGTGGGTTTGTGTGTTTAGTGAGTGTGTGGGATTGTGTGTTTAGTGTGTGTATGTGTGTTTAGTGATTGTGTGTGTGGGTTTGTGTGTTTAGTGAGTGTGTGGGTTTAGTGATTGTGTGTTTAGTGAGTGTGTGGGTTTAGTGATTGTGTGTTTAGTGAGTGTGTGTGTGTTTAGTGAGTGTGTGGGATTGTGTGTTTAGTGAGTGTGTGGGATTGTGTGTTTAGTGAGTGTGTGGGATTGTGTGTTTAGTGAGTGTGTGTGTTTGTGTGTTTAGTGAGTGTGTGTGTTTGTGTGTTTAGTGAGTGTGTGGGTTTGTGTGTTTAGTGAGTGTGTGGGATTGTGTGTTTAGTGAGTGTGTGGGATTGTGTGTTTAGTGAGTGTGTGTGTTTAGTGAGTGTGTGGGATTGTGTGTTTAGTGAGTGTGTGGGATTGTGTGTTTAGTGAGTGTGTGTGTTTAGTGATTGTCTGTGTGGGTTTGTGTGTTTAGTGAGTGTGTGGGATTGTGTGTTTAATGAGTGTGTGGGTTTAGTGAGTGTGTTTAGTGAGTGTGTGTGGGTTTAGTGAGTGCGTCTCTTTAGTGTGTGTGTCTTTAGCACGTGTCTTAAGTCACACTAAAGACACTAACTGAAGACACACACAAGAGACACACGCAATCACTAAAGACAAACGAAACGAAAAATACGAGACACACAAAAACCACCACCACCACCACCACCACGATGTCCCTTCCGATTTCGTGAGTATTTGAGATTCACAGTCGGCAAAAGAAAGTGGGGGGAGGGTTCAAGGGGAGCATCTCCCCGGAGGCAATTGCCTTGGGATCGACCACCGGGCCCAGCCGTGTGCCTGGTTGACTTCTCACGAGCGTGGCCTCGCTAACAGAAACTCGCCAC